CGGCGTCGAGGGCGAGGGCGACGACGGGCGGCGTCGAGGGCGAGGGCGAGGGCGGGCGGCGTCGAGGGCGAGGGCGACGGCGACGGGCCTTCGGCGCGGTGTTGAATCGGAGAAGACGAGAAAGGGTTCGGGCCCTTGTATTTATAGCCCCCCCTTTAGTCGCGGTTGGGGAGGCGCCCCGCGACTAAAGGGTAACCTTTAGTCGCGGTTGGCCAGACCAACCGCGACTAAAGGGGTTTTTGGCGGGTTTTTGCGTTCCCGCGCGCAACGACCTTTAGTCGCGGTTGGGCAGGCCAACCGCGACTAAAGGTATTTTTTAGAATACTTTTTCTTTTTCAAAATCTTAAAAATACAAATAATATATCAAAAAATTCAGAAAAATAAAACTAATTCAATTCAATATGTTAAAAACACAAATATTATATCAAAAAATTAAGAAAAATAAAACTAATTCAATTCAAAATGTTAAAAATACAAATAATATATCAAAAAATTCAGAAAAATAAAACTAATTCAATTCAAAATCTTAAAAATACAAATAATATATCAAAAAATTAAGAAAAATAAAACTAATTCAATTCAATATGTTAAAAATACAAATAATATATCAAAATTTTTAGAAAAATAGAACTAATTCAATTCAATATGTTAAAAACACAAATATTATATCAAAAAATTCAGAAAAATAAAACTAATTCAATTCAAAATTCTAAAAATACAAATAATATATCAAAAAATTAAGAAAAATAAAACTAATTCAATTCAAAATAATATACCAGAGGCCGGTCGTCGGCTATGGTGGTACGGCCGGACTCTGCAGAGCGTCATGGACTACATCACGGCTGGCGATATCCCCCGCCTGCGCTACCCTCAGTTTGAGCCACGAGCGCCGCCCGACGACAGCGACGACAGCAGCGACGACGACGGCGGCAACTTAGAAGGCGACGACTACCAGTACAACGGCGGCGGCTATGAAGACTACGAGTATGCATATTATACGCCTAGGCAGGAGTATGACTAAATCACTCCAAATTTCATGTATCATCAGTGGTATCTCGAATCATTCGAAAATGGACACCAAACACATCACGGGTAATATAATTCACATGATCCATTCAACAAAGTTTGGTACAATAAATTATTACACATCATTTCTTCCCTTGTGTCCCTGCTTGCTTACGATTGTGCCGTATCCATGGAGCATCCTCATCATTTAACTTAATGCTTGGGTCGGTGCTCACTTTGAAGGGCGGAATTTCAGCAAACATATTATAATCTTCTGACATGTCTGTCTTGTCCTCCACTCCCACGATGTTTCTTTTCCCTGAAAGAACAATGTGGCGCTTTGGATCATCGCATGATGTACTGATCGTTTTCTTATCTTTCCGTTTCCTCAGTTTGCTACTCATGTCCTTCACATAGAAAACCTGAGCGACATCTTTCGCTAGGACGAATGGTTCGTCAAGGTAACCAAGATTGTTGAAATCCACCATTGTCATTCCGTATTGCTGGTCCACCTTTACCCCACCTCCTGTTAGCTTGAACCATTTGCACCGGAACAAAGGGACCTTAAAGGAGGGTCCATAGTTAAGTTCCCATATCTTCTCTATGTAACCATAATATGTGACCTTTTGCCCATTCTCGGTTGCTGCATCAAAGCGGACACCACTGTTTTGGTTGGTGCTCTTTTTATCTTGGGCGATCGTGTAAAATGTATTCCCATTTATCTCGTACCCTTGGAAAGTCGTTATAGTCGAAGATGGTGTCTTGGCCAACATGTACAGCTGATCTACAACATCATTGTCATTCATTAAATGTTTTCTCAACCAACTGCCGAAAGTCTCCATGTGGGCCTTCCTAATCCAGGATTCAGGCTTCCCCGGGTTGTCCGAGCGTAAAATATTCTTGTGTTTCTCAAAGTACGGAGCCACCAAGCTGGAATTGGTCAGTACAGTGTGGTGTGCTTCAGTCAGAGAATTGCCGTCCATACATATCGTTGATTTCCTTCCGATCGTGCCTTTTCCACTTAGTCTCCCCTCGTGCCGCGATCGAGGAAGACCAATCGGCTTAAGGTCAGGAACAAAGTCAACACAAAACTCAATTACCTCCTCATTTCTATAGCCCTTGGCAATGCTTCCTTCTGGCCTAGCACGGTTACGAACATATTTCTTTAATACTCCCATGAACCTCTCGAAGGGGAACATATTGTGTAGAAATACAGGACCGAGAATGAAAATCTCTTCGACTAGGTGAACCAAGAGGTGCGTCATAATATTGAAGAAGGATGGCGGGAACACCAACTCGAAACTGACAAGACATACGATCACATCGTTCTGTAACCGTGGTAGATCTTCTGGATTGGTTACCTTCTGAGAGATTGCATTGAGGAATGCACATAGCTTCACAATGGCTACTCGAACATTTTCCGGCAGGAGCCCCCTCAAAGCAATCGGAAGCAATTGCGTCATAATCACGTGGCAGTCGTGAGACTTCAGATTTTGGAACTTTTTCTCCGCCATGTTTATTATTCTCTTTATATTGGACGAGAATCCAGATGGGACCTTCATACTGCTCAGGCATTCAAAAAAGATGACCTTCTCTTCTTTGGTCAGAGCGTAGCTGGCACGACCTTGAAACCATTCCGGATGCCGGTCATCAGGGTCTTTCAAACGTTGCTGGTCCTGCCGTGCTTCCTTTGTATCATTTGTCTTCCCATACACGCCCAAGAAGCTTAGGAGGTTCACGCAAATATTCTTCGTAACGTGCATCACGTCGATTGCAGAGCGGACTTCTAGGACTTTCCAATATTCTAGCTCCCAGAATATAGATTTCTTCTTCCACATGGCTGCGTGCCCGTCAGCTCCCTTCGGAACTGATTGTCTGCCAGGACCCTTTCCAAAGATGACTTTCAAATCCTTGACCATATCAAATACCTCAGCACCAGTGCGTTCCGCAGGCTTCGGCCGGTGATCTGCCTTGCCGTTGTAATGCTTGCCTTTCTTTCTTACTGGATGAATTTTCGGAAGAAATCGACGATGCCCAAGGTACACGTTCTTCTTACAATTTGGCAAATGTACACTTTCAGTCTTATGTAAGCAGTGCGTGCATGCATTGTATCCCTTATTTGACAGTCCCGAAAGGTTACTAAGAGCAGGCCAATCATTGATGGTTATGAAAAGCAACGCTCGTAGGTTAAATTCCTCTTTTTTGTGCTCATCCCACACACGGACACCAGGTCTGCCCCACAGCTGTAAAAGTTCATCAACTAATGGCCTTAGGTACACATCGATGTCGTTGCTGGGTTGCTTCGGACCTTGGATGAGCACTGGCATCATAATGAACTTCCGCTTCATGCACAACCAAGGAGGAAGGTTGTAGATGCATAGAGTCACGGGCCAGGTGCTATGGCTGGAGCTCTGCTCGCCAAAAGGATTCATGCCATCTGTACTTAGACCAAATCTTATGTTCCTTGCGTCAGCTGCAAAATCTTTGAACTCTCTGTCAATCTTTCTCCATTGCGTTCCATCTGCGGTGTGTCTCAACTCCCCGTCCGACTTACGGTCCTCTTTGTGCCATCGCAACAACTTGGCATGCTCTTTGTTCCTGAACAGACGTTTCAACCGTGGTATTATAGGAGCATACCACATCACCTTGGCGGGAATCCTCTTCCTGGGTTTCTCGCCCTCAACATCGTCACCAGGGTCATCGCCTCTGATCTTATAACGCAATGCAGTGCATACCGGGCATTCATTCAAATTCTCGTATTCACCGCGGTAGAGGATGCAGTCGTTGATGCATGCATGTATCTTCAGAACCTCTAAACCTAGAGGGCAGACAACCTTCTTTGCTTCGTACGTACTGGCGGGCAACTCGTTATTCTTTGGAAACATATTCTTCAACATTTTCAGCAAGTTTTCAAATGCCGAGTCAGCTACACCTGCCTGTGCCTTCCATTTCAGCAAATCCAGTGTGCAGCCCAGCTTTTTCAGACCATCATCGCATCCGGGGTACAATGACTTTCTGTGATCCTCTAACATGCGATCCAAATTCTCCCTCTCCTTTTCAGTTTCGCAGCGTCTCCGTGCATCAGCAATGGTCCGACCAAGATCATCAACGGTCTCATCACGTGCCTCTTCTTCACCTTCACCTTCCCCTTCACCTTCCCCTTCACCTTCAGCATCCTCCATGAAAGTATCACCGAAATGAGCAAGATAGCTTTCATCGATGAAATCATCCCCTTCTTCATCTTCTTCCATTATAACCCCTCTTTCTCCATGCTTGGTCCAACAATTATAGCTTGGCATGAAACCGTGCCGAAGCAGGTGCAGGTGAACTTCTCTTGAGGAAGAGTAACCCTTTTGATTCTTACATTCAACACATGGACAGATAACAAAACCCTTCTGCTTGTTCGCATTAGCCACTACGAGGAAATCTTTCAAACCCGTAGTGAACTCGCGGGAGAGTCGGTTACCGTACATCCATTGCCGATTCATCTGCATTATTATAATATAAAATATATAATTAACCATCATGCATTTGTTAAACTAACTAGCTATAAACAATAGAAATTAAACAATGAACAACACACATGCATATTTTATCAATGACACACATGCATGAAAGGTTCAAGTTGCTAACCGCGATCGAGGAGGAAAAAATAAATGAGGAACCTCAAGTGTGGCTCCAACACTTCATATCATGTTTGTTTCACCCTCTTGGGGCATTTCATCAAACACCTTGTGTGCATAAGAGGAACCAAAAGCAAACCTACACCCCCTTGTGAAGCTTGTGAAGAGAAGTGGCACCAAATGGCTAAGTGAGCGTGCTGAACTGGTATATATAGGGGAGGAGCTTTAGTCGCGGTTGGCCTGGCCAACCGCGACTAAAGGCCTTTGGGCACCTTTAGTCGCGGTTGGCCTGGCCAACCGCGACTAAAGCCCATCACGTGCACCAGCTGGCCACCGAGCGCCCTGGGCCTAGGCCTTTGGTCGCGGTTCGTCTGCCGAACCGCGACTAAAGACTTCATTAGTCGCGGTTCCTACAGTTTCGCGACTAATGGAGCTGGACGGAAGCCTCTTTTTCTACCAGTGAGGAGCTCCACGTCCGCTGCCATCGAACTCAGGTACGCCTCGTCGACCATGATAGCCATGGAGCCCACGTCCATGGTTGATCAACCGAGCTGCTTGCCTAAGTTTTTGCTGCACGAAGAAAAACTAGAAATTCTTGCACTGGTTGCGGCGGTCCATGCGTTCCTGTGGCAGTGACCGGAGACTCTGATGCGGAGACGCGTAATTAAGGGCGGTGCAGACAAGGATGTGCAGCGGCGGACGTTTGACTGCTACCTGCACAAGCGGATGGCCCTGCGAGCCGTGGACCAACCTCCAGCTGCTGTGGCGTACCGCGGGCAGATTTATCCCAACGAGGCATGCATGTGCACAATCATCATAAACATATGGATGAGTTAATTGCATGTTGGTACCACACTTCAGCACCTACTCATGAATTGGTACCACTACTTAAAAGTTTTGCAGTTCAGTACCAATTCAGGGTCTAAATGTTGCAAAACGGTCTAAGTTGCGTATAAACGCGTATTGACGGTGTATCTGACCGCCGGGACCCGCTGTCAGGGGCTGATGTGGCAATGCTCTTTTACAAATAAAACCTTACCTTGTATTTAATCACGCACATATCCTCTGTTTGTCGAAAAAAAAAGGTCTTGCCGCAAAAAATATTTTTCTCGATAATGACGACACGCGCGACGCGCGCTTGCTGCCGGGTTTCCAACCCACGCCGTGCGGTTGGAACCGTTAGCTGGCTGCCGCTGAGCTGCTGCTACTATTACTTTAACAGGGACGCCTAATTTTTTTATACCTAGCAACGTTCGATTTTTTTACGAAGTACAAAAATGCGCGCCCGTCTGCCGAAAATCGATCCGCGCCGAGTCGTTCGCAGCGCGCGCTCGCTTGCCTATGCGTCAACTCGTTCGTATACGTCTTTAAACTCCGAGCAGTTCCAATTTTTATACGATATAAAAAATATTATCTGACATTAAAAAAATGTTCATCACGTCGTATAATTAAAAATATGTTCATTGCATCATATATTAAAATTTCATCGTATAAAAGCGTATCGTATATTAGAAAATGTTCACCACATCTTTTAATATATATATTAAACATTTGTTAATATACAATGATCTTATTTAAATATATGATTTCGTATTACAGAAATTTTATCATTTATATGTTGAACATTTTATAATATATGATACCTATATATATGTGTGTATAATTTTTTTAATATAGGTTGCGTACACTGCGTTCGGTCTGAAGAATACACAAGTTCTGAATAATAGACCTGCTGGTCGCCGCTTTGTTTTTGGGTTGACGTTCAAAAATTACACTACTCGTTCATTGCATGTTAGGACCATACTTCAGCGCCTACTTACGGATTGATACCACTACTCGAAAGTTTTGCAGTTCAGTACCTTAGCTTGGTGCTGCGTGCATGCATATATACATCTAAACAGAATTACAGTAGCTTAGCTAGGAAAAGCCCGCCACTGATTGTTGTGATCGAGATACCTCACCCAGGTGTCTGGTTTCTTTTACCGAAAAAAGCTTTCACCCCGTTTTATATATAAAGCACAATCAACATACATATCGCAAACCACCCGACACCACACACACCCAAGGCAGATACAAGGGAGCTGACGTACAACAACACTACTCCAAAAGCTCCAAAGCAGACAACTAGTAGACAGATAGAGCATAGCTAAGGATCTAAGGAGCTCTCCTCCGTGAACGAGTCACCGCGAGGGGACGAAGCCGACACTCGACGAACCAGCGCCTCCAAAGCGGTGCTTCCAGAAAAGAAACGACACTGTAGAACCGCCACCGCCCGATCCACTGAATCGAGGTTTTCACCCGAAGTAACACGAAGGACGCAGGGCCACCGCAATGGAGCCGTCAAGAAGGGAACGACGCATGGACGCCGCCGCCATTGGTCTGGCAAGAGCCAGACGAGGTTTTCATCCCGGCCACCACCCTCCGCCTTCGCCTGGCGTACGGCCCAACACGAGAGCGCCGGCCGCACCACCACCATAGAACGTCGAGAGCCTGCCCCATGCCGCCCACGCGACCATGACAGCGAGCCGCCCGCACCCGAGCCACGAGCTCCGCCCATGAGCCCGCAGCTCCCGCCACCAAGGCCACATCCCTGCATCCAGACACTCCGAAGACCAACAAATGGACGGGCTTTGAGTCGATCGGCAGAACCCAAGCACCAACAGTACCGCCGGTGACCGTCCCGCCCCGGACACCGGTCTGCAGCCAGGAGGCGCGAGGCCTGGAAAAGGGGAGGGGGAGCGGAGCTCGTCCGGACCAGCGCACCCCTGCACCGGTGACAGGTAGTCGGTCTACCCCGTCCCTCCAGCAGCCTCCTCTACGTCACCCCTGACGCCCTAGCACGACCACCGCCCAGACCCATGCGAGGAAGATGCAGCCACCCGTCCGCTGGCGAGGTCCGTCTGATCGATCACACCCTCCGCCGAAGAAGGCCTCCAGAGGGGCCAGCGCCCTGACCTGCACCACCTGCGTGACGCCGGAACCCCCCGCCGCCAGGAACCGTCGCCGGAGCCACCTCTTGCAGCACCGCCCCCACCACCTGACGCAGGTCACGGCAGGGGGGTCGCCCGATCCCGCGCCGCCACGACCCTCTCCACCCATCGCCGGTGTTGGCCGCCATCAGCAGAGAAGGGAAGCCCAACAAGAGGCGAGAACCACCCCCATGACGCCCGCCGCACCGCCGCCAGGAGGTCGTCGCCGACCACTCTGCAGCATGCCGCGCCGCCGCACCCGCCAACCAGTCCGGCGCCCAGGCCCGGCGGATCTAGCCCGCGCCTGACCACCCGTGCGAGGGGACGAAGGAATCCCTGCCGCCGCCTGCGCAAACCGGGCTTCGCCCGGCCGCGCCCTCCGGCGGCGGCGAGGGGGAGTAGGGAGGGAGAGGGGGGCGAGCGAAGGAGATCGGGGTGCCCTCCCTGGCCGCCTCGCGGGTGGCGGCGCGGGAGGGATAGGGTTCGCTCCTCGACCAAAATCGTCTGGTTTCTTTTTAATCCAGATCACCTGATCTGCGTTCTGGTGACCTGCGATTGGACACCTCTTGGCATGGAAGCAGAGGTAGGTTTCAGTCATCGCTGTTGTGCCGTGTTGCGGTGGGATGCAGGAAACAAGGAGCCCAAAGATTAAATTAAAACAAATCGACGCCAAGAGCGATGGGGTGAGTAAGCTATTCCTATTTCTTTTCGTCTGTGGATGCATTGATGTTTTGTATTTCACATTTTGTTTTATTGTTATTGTTATATACATTACGGTCTTGTTTCCTGTGGTCATCGTGTCCGAGCCGAGCGAGGGCTGTAGTCACCACCACCAAGCCGAGGGACCGCCGCCACGCTGTGCGCCAGTCAGGTCCCATGTATTGTTTGTCGGTGGTTCCACCGCTCATCCTCGAACTCTTTCATGACCGCGCGCCATGGCTGGTTCCACCCGTGGAGGCCGTGGTGGTCCACGCTGCGGTTTGTGTATTTCTTAAATCTCAGTTTCCTTTCCCCCCACAAATTAACGCTATTTTTTTATATGTGCAGATCAATGAATTCATTAAAGTGGTAGAGCTTCCAAGGAACGTGTTTATATAATTAATCATCGAAAGAATACAATGATGGGTAAAGCTAAAGCTCAACAGCGACTTATAGACAATTTGGAGGATGAGTTTGCAAAGGTAACTTCTAGCCATTCCAGAACGGTTATAGATTAAGGACATGATGACCCTCACTATTGTGAAGATGAATCCGTGTGTATACTATCTCGTATGAGATGTTCTTTGTCCAGTGCGTGGTTTGGTATATTGAAATCAAAGTGTTATTACTTGCCAAGCCATTGGTTTATATAAGATGTTATTACTTGCAAAGGGTACTTGTTAATTTAATTCATCATTTATACACATTAACTTTGCAGTCACGTCTTCACATCATATTTGACCTGCAGCAATTGGTTGTGTGCTTATATCTACTATTCAAACCGTATTATTTTAGAACTTCCTTTAATTTACAGTTAACATAGCTTACTACTGTCTACCTGTATATTTTATCGCACATATTTATTCTTTATTTATGATGTCACAGATGGGTTATTTCTTCAGATTTTGAACATTCTATTCATTTTTAATGGGTTTTCTACCTACATCCAAGGAAAAGGAATAACATGTTAATTGCATGCTACCTATGATTCCCAACCAGCCTCAAGTGCATAAGCTGGAATGAAATCTTCCTCACAAATATCTGTTAGGTTATGTCCGTTCCTTCTCTCCGTATAACTTTCTCACTTTTCTCTGTTCGGTTTTCATTACTAAGGATTTTTGTGCAGAACCGTTGCAGTCAAATATTGATTGGGATGTACGAATTGTTCAAGTGAGGACGACAATGAACATTCGTGAGTGTTGATCGTATGAATTGCTGCTTTGCTATTTATTTTTTCCATGTATCAGATGGTATCCTGAGTGTTAAAATGCTAAGGTCCGAACATTCATGATGTGGTGATCAGAGGTAATTTCTACCTATTGTTTCCCGCCATTAATTACATGGTTGTGTTTTGTTGATACATGGTTAAAGATGTGAACATTTAATAAAACCGTTGTATTCCCCGTATATTATACAATGTTGTGATGCACTGTTTAGGGCCAGTTCTTTTGTGCGGCTTAAATAAGCTGCCTCTCCCCAGCTTAAAAAATAAGCCGCCCTCAATTTTTTGTGAGACTTCTAAATTAGTCATCCCATAACTAATTTAGAAGCTCCAATAAATATAAGAGGCGGCTTATGGGAAAGTTGGGGAGAGACGGCTTATTTTTTAAGCCGCCCAAAAAAGCTGGCCCTTAGTTTCCTGGTCTGGTACATTGATATGATGTCAACTGGCATGTCCTTGTCCTTTGGGTGCCATGGACTTACAATTGGAACAGACTCAACATTCACAAAGCTAGGCAAGCACAAAAGCAATGAAGGGGGGAGGAAGATGTTACCCGAGGTAGACTTTCAATTGGAACAGGCTCAATATTGACGTTTTGCTTGTAAAGAGCTCAGCACATGCCCTTCATTCACTACAAGCCTACAACCATCAAGAGGGCATTATCGCTTCCAAGGATTTCTCAAGCGTGATGAGGAGAGCAAACCTTTCTGAATCTCCTGTCTTGCCCCCTTCTCTTGTTCTAAATCTCTGCTTCACGTTGCAAAATGACCTCATGCCACTATTCTGTTTAAGATATGTATACATCGTGCACTTTTACGATGCAATGAGTTTCATACTTCCATTGGCAGCTTTGATAAAAAAAAATGCTTGATCTTCTTAGTTATTAAATCTTCAGAACCTTTAACATTTTTTATCTGCAATGTCCTGATGATGTTAAGAAGTGTTTAACACTTCTACTTCTTGTTTGATTGGAAAATCCTTGATCTTCTTGTTGTTAATCCTTCAGAGTACAAAGGTGATCAATTAGTTTTTCAATAAATTTCAAGATATTAATCCTTTGTTTATTTGCACCCTATAGATCTAAATATATTTCCTATGGCCCAACCTGTTATTGGCAACATTTTGCTCTTTAAAGAACTGACTATAACAAGTACCTTCTTTCAATACAGTAAACTCTATATCTTGTATTGAATGCTTTTTATAGCCTTCTCAATGTAGTTTTGTAAATCTGAAAGTTATTTTTTGTAGGCTTGTTGCTTTTATATGCAAGTTCAATAAATTTAATTAACATATTTTTGTGGACGGAGTAATGTTTATTTATGTTGCTTGATGTTGAATATGGAGCATGACTGTCATTGGTTGTATGCCACATATTGGTCTTGTCGATATTAAAGCGTGAAGTTATGATAAAAAGTTTAATAGGAGAAGACATGGTGATTAGTGGACAAGATGTGTGGTGGTGAAAAAGAAAGCCATAGGTACACAGTTATTTTGGTCGAATGTTTGTTCAACTGATGATAATCTCTAAATTATTTCCTCTGTAGGTGACTTATGACTGACCATATGATTTAGACTACCCATAGTGGGAAGTAACTTACACTAGTAACATGCATATGTTACTACCTCTATAGTGAGGAGTAACATATGCGTTGTGCCATGCAACACTTCACTTATTAGGTTGTAAACTCATCTTGCACTAGTAAAAAAACGACCTTACGTTCATCTCATTTGTCCCGGTTCGATTACGGTCCGGTACTAATGGTACCATTAGTCCCGGTTCCAACGGCTATGCATTAGTCCTGGTTCATTTGTAATCTATAGTCCCGGTTTGTGTCACAAACCGGGGGTGGTGGCAGGCTGGCGTCAGGCCGGGGCCCCACGAGAGCCACCAACCGGGACTA